TTAGGATTAACCTTAACGAGTTCAGCTGAAGTCCTAAGAGGGAAGATCATAAAATGTAAGAGGGCAAATCTTGAAATTATTTATGTAAAATTAAATTGAGCCGCTTATTTCAATTGGAATAAAACGCGAAATTTGATAACATTAATTATTTTTATTCGAACGTTATTTTAATGTAATACTGTTAATCCACATACCTTAGAGGTTCATATCCGATGTCATCAACAATTATGTGTCTAAAAAGCGGCTTTTGCAATCAGCCTTTATAAGCAAAAAGAATGGCTGTTACAATCGAATTGTTGCTAACATGCCTGGTGCTTTTAAAGCTTGATGAGTGTTCGAGGATATCAGACTCGCTGTGCAATAGATGTTAACAAATGGTTTGCATAGAAGTGGGAAGGCAAAAAAGAAATTGTCATTTGGTTGGGCGGACCAACACATTATAGCATAGTATTCGTAGTGTAATGAATGACGATAAAATGTACACTTGCCGGTCATACTACCGTAGTACCCCAGCTTAGAGAAAGGGGTAAGAGAGGTCGTTTAAAGTGCCTAATGACGCACGACCACCGGCCCTGCCAGTCAAACACAACTAAATAAAAAAGAAATGGTATCGATCGCCAAGGTGATGGAAGATAACTATAGTTAAAGAAACAAACAACCTGAGGTACTGTGAAAGCAAAGCAGTTGTGTGTTTTAGCGGTTCGTTTGTCAGGTGTGTAAAACCGCAGAGTTCGAAATTGCTCACGCTATTGCCCTATTGCCACGCGGTAACGAATTTCGGTTAAAAAATAAATAAATAATTATTTTCCCGCATTCTCAAAGGGTGATACATATTGAAAATCTCGTTCGTAGTATATTATATACGAGAAAACAGTAAAGCCGTGGTCACACTGCTGACACAAACTACAGTCTGCATGTCACTCTCTCAGCCGTGCCACCAAAAGTGACACGAACGTTTCATCATTAAGTCATAACAATAATTCGTCCGGGTAGTTTAAGCCGGAACTTGTCGAAGTGCCGTATTTCTCGGTCCGACGTGGGAAAGGTCCAGCGCCCGGCATATCGCCCAGACCCAGGGAGATCGGTCGAAGGAAAGAACTCCCGCGGTTTACTCACCACATATCTTCACCATGCTGCACGCGGTCGGTGTTGTCAAGAAGGTTCCGCGGCTGCTAACCATCCATTCGATGCCGCGGTTGAGGCGCGCACTTCACAACACAACACCATACCAGGCTGTCATTCCGTAGGAGGTAGAGTTAGCCCGTCACTGTCGTATTGCAAACAGGGGACGATGGCACGGATCCGTTAATCCAGGAACGGGTCGAGCGATCCGCCTCCGTGCGCACTGTCAACACCCCGAGATTTTGCCGAGAGGGAGGCGACTTCGAGAAGTCGACGCTCTCCGTATCCATTGGGACGCTTCCAGCTGATTCGGAACTTTGTGCGGGCGACCCCCTCCTACCCCTTCCAGAGAGAGCGGCGAGGACGGTCACATGGGTAAACAAGCAAACTTCGAGGCCCTGCGAAGGTGCTGCCATCTCTTTGCGTATGCGCACACTAACGCAACTATAGTTTCGGTTTCGTATTTTAAAGGCACAGGGCTATGAACTGCATAATGCGTTATAGCCAAATCAAGCGAATAAAAGACTGTTTTTAAAATATCATCAGATTTTATAACTTACCCTAAAAATAAATAAAATTCGATTAAAATAGTTTAACCTACTGTAAGTTTTGCTGGGTTTGTTGTCTTAAATTACTTAGGGATTTTTATATGTATTTTAAAGTAGTTTTAAACATACTGGATAGATAGCGCAAGACGCCACCCTATTAACTGTACTGAGGTTTGGCTTTTAGTTGTTGTCTATGTATAACAAACTAGCTTTTCCCGACTTTTCGCTATTTTCGCTTCGCTACTCGCTGGCTGTGCAGCTGTGTGCTGGTGGAATTTCATTTTTCGCGTCATTTCGTATCCCAAGGCCCCAAGATGTTTCCCTCAACTGCAGGGGTAGCTCTCAGGAGAGGCTTTCCTGTTATGTGCTTGCGTTTTCACACCGCATCACGCAACCGTTCCCCAGGCGAAACGTCCCAACGTTCGGATGGGATTTCCTCCGACTCGCCCGACCAGCCCTTCAACGAAGAACTTCTGAAGATCATCGCCTGTCCTGTGACGAAGAAGCCCCTGCGGTATGATAAGGCGACGAATGCGTTGATATCCGACGAAATCGAGAAGGCTTACCCGATTGTGAATGGCATACCGAACCTTCTACCTGAGAACGCATTGCCTCTGAAGGAACGTTGAGAGACATTTGTTCTTGGAAAAGCATATTACTATACCTTTGTTGGAAACCCCTGTTTTGTCATCGCACCTAGATTGTGAGTGCGACATTCACTAGGAGAAAAAAAAAATAAATTATTGTGCCTTTTTACTTTAGTTACACAATCCTTCACTTTATCAGCTGTTCAAGACTAGCATCTAATCGAGCTACGACCACGAGAAATGTCTGAGCCTTAGTGCAACACCCATAGATTACAAAAGTGTTTCTGTGAGTTGAAAGAGGAACATGTACTGACTGTGCAGGGGTCTGGCAGTGGCGTTTTGCATTATTAGTTTTTCTAACTGAATGAATTTAATGTTTATACCATTGGTGCCACTGTTATGTGGTTCTTCGTACTGCTTATAGTGCCCCTTAGGTTTTTGTTTGAACTCCTTATTCCAAAAAACATTAGTTTGTGGAAGTTTAGTCGGAAAAATTTATGTGGAGCGCAAGTTTGTCTGCTTCTTGCCCAGGGGTTGCAGTGATGTCAGAACACCAAGCTCTAATTGGCTGATTGAAACAAATAGTGGGTAGACCTCAAGGCATCTAGCATTGAAGTCTACCCACTATTTGTCCAATCAAAGCCAATCAGAACTCGCCGTCATCCTGACATCACCGCAACCCCTGGTGCAAGAAGCAGACGACTGGCTGTCTGTATTGCTCCAATTCATTTGTTAAGGACACTATTCGGTTGTTTCACTTTTACATGAAGTTAATTTCTCTAGAGAGTTGGTTATATGCACGCGCAGTGAATATGTTTTGTTCAGGTGGATGCAAGGGTAAAGAATCCTGACTTTGCATAGCTGTTCTGAATGCATGTGTTAACATTAAAGGTTTCAAATCATTGCGGAGCGCAAATTCGTCTGCTTCTTTGCAGGGGTTGCGATGACGTAAGAATGCCGAGCGCCGAGTTTCTGATTTTAGGACAGTGGGTAGACCTCAAAGCAAGCTGCCTTGAGGTCTACCCACTTACTATCGCTCAATCACAGCTCGGCATTCTGACGTAACCACGACCCCTCCAAAAGAAGCGGACGAACTTGTTCTCCGCATAGAGTTTGTGTGCTCATGCCACAACAATAGGAGAATGTGTGGCAAGGCTACATCACACCGAGGGTCTCATGACATTACGATACATCATTCACCAGAGGCATCGGAAGTATCCAGATAAGGAAAGGGACTTCCCTCCCCTTCCTCCAAATTGTTTACCAGGAATATCTGAAATGTCTGATTGTGTATGTGGGTGAAGAGGGGGGGGGGGGGGGGGGGGGGGGGGGCTGGGCTGCTGCTGCTACATTAGCATATCCTTTTCCAACTGCAGCTAAGTCTTGGTGTTCTGGCTGCACAGAAGTGCAATTTACTCCTCTTTATTTGTAGTGACCACTCAAATGTGCTCGAGTGGCTGCTTGTCACTTTGCAAATGAAACAACATTTGGACATCAAGGAGCAGCTAGATGAGCTCACATTTTTGGAAGACGTCCAAGAAGTGTAGTTTTCCTTGGACTGTCTGCAGGCTATCTAGGGCAATCGTTTTCATTGACGCAAGAATAACCCAGAAGCCGGGGCTCATCATAACGAAACGAACCACACCGACTTGACTGGAGAGGAATAACAATTTAATGAGATGTTTCGTCTCCCGTACAGGAGATATCATCAATGATGCTAAGATGGCAGGAATGAAAAGGCAAAACAAGAGTTTCTATCTAAGGAGCATACACTTCGGGAAGGGAACTATGGTTGGCATTGCTAGCCAATCAGTTACGGCGGCTGCACCATGATTCCATGTACATGGGCGTCCGCAGAGGGGTGCAGGGGGCAGTTGCCCCCCCCCCCCCCCCTCCCCTCCTTGGAATTTTGAGGGGGGAGCTGCACCCACAGCAGTTAAAGAATACTCCGGTGGTTTTTTTAACTACCCAAACCAACTACATTTTCTAAATAACATGGACTTACTGTTCCCGGCAGGTTATTTTTTTATCCACAAATTCAAAATGGCTACTGAAAAACGAAAAATCTAAACGGAAAGAAAAAAAACGTGTTAAGGAAGTTTTGATAACGCCACGAGCCCGTCGAAACTTGCTTTCGACGCGTTGTGCCTTTTTTCTGCGGCACTGCGCTTCCGTAAAAATTTCCGCGTGTTCTCTACGGCAAGTCTCACGGCTTACAGAGGGTTTGAAAAAACTCCTTCGACGAATGATGACGAACGAGTAGAAAATGTGTCTTGAGCACGCTGCCGCTATAGTCTCCGCAACGCTCCAAGGAACGTGATTTTTCGACATGCAAGATGGCTGCTCAGTGGCTTCACTCGCGGGAGCGGGAAGCGCGATCCAGCAATTGTCATAGAGATCAACGGGTGTGTAGTCCAAAATCCAGGGAGCAGCCGTGAAAGCAGCTAGAGAGTAACGTGAGAACGTGCTGAAAATATCCAACATAGCTAACATTCCGGCCCAGGGGGGGGGGGGGGGGGGGGGGGGGGGGGGGGGGCGGGCGGGGCGGGGAAGGGGGCAAGGGAAAGAAAGCAAGAAAGGGGGAAGGGAAGAGAAGGATAAGTGTGCTCTCCCCTGGAAAAAATTCTGCGGACGCCCATGTCCATGTATCTGTGTGTGCCGCACCTTTGTTCATGCGTCAAGGTCGAAACCTTGTCAGAGTCAAACTTGTGACCCGTCATCCAACAATGGTCAACAAGTTCAATCTTTGACATACTGCTTTTTACTTGTACATAAATATGACATGTCTGGAGACACTTGTTGCATTATCTTTTAATGTACTACTTTCGATTTCTGGCCTATTCACTTTCTGTGTTGATAAATTCCCGTAAATGGTGCAATAAGAGGGCCTTGCTGCAAAGGAAAGATAAAGGAACAAAGCTCTTGTTTCAGGCTCCTTCCGTATGTTATGCAAATGGTGACTGGATCGCAGCAAGTACTTACTCCTCGTACGTCACAGCAGGACTAAATACGATAAGGACACTTGCTACGTGGTGTGTTCTTTGACGTTATGACTATTTCAGGTTGTTGCTATTAGAAGAGGGCAGGATTAAAAGAGTGCCAACATACACAGGTTAAAAGTTAGAGCCCAGTAACCATCTTGATCCACGGCATGAATTTGTGTACCATTACGTAGAATCCATATTTTCCTTTCGACAGACAGCTTCTTTCTCCGAAGCTCACAATGCCGATGGCGTAGTATTTGCCATCGCCCTCTGCCACCAATGGGCCCCCACTGTCCCCTTTGCAAGCGTCTCGGTGGGACTGTCCTTTGGAGTATCCAGCACAGAACATGTTTGCAGTAATCTGAAAAGCAGACGAAAAAAAAAAATTGAATGCCTTTCCCATTTTCACATTTCTATTGTAGCTAAAGCATAAGCATGGAACCCTTCGCACTCATTCCGGATTTATATGGAATATCGAAAAATGTATGGGCCTAGCTCAACTAATTCTACATGACGTCTCAACAATGTTGCCTTGTAGTATATTGTTTGGCTGTGGAAAGGTTTAACTATTTCTGTGTGATCATGAGTCAGCACTGTTATACATTTTTTTTTTCAGTCAGTATATGGCATTGACCTTTACAATTCACTGCGTCTCAACTCTGAACTGTGTGCAGTGAAATCCTTGGTTTCCCAGACTACATTATGCATTTGTGGATAGGTAACACAACGTAAGCATTATAAAACAAAACAATTTTTCGGGGCCAATATGATTTTTGACACTATCTAGACTATTGCTCTAATTTTCGTCAGTTAGCGTACACATCCGAAATAGCCGAGAGTTTATTTTTAAATTTGTGCGTGGCAGTTGGGGGTCTAGTCTTGATGTGAGGAAAATGTTCGTTACGTTGGGCGCTTAAAGAGGCCCTGCAGTGTCTTTTCTATTGGTTTTTAATTTGCACCGAACCCGAGCGCACTAAACGTAGTAACGTAATGAAACTTTTTTTTTTCTCTCGAATTTCGCTTTATATTAAAAGTTATGGGCAAATTAAAATTACAAAAACAAGCAAAAAACAACCTCCTTCATGACCTTCTTGGTCGCTTGAGTGGCCGTGGGCTAGAGGAGGGGTAGTGAGCTTAGCGAGCGCTCACGGCTGCCGCACTCCGTGTCGACGGCTTGAGAGGGCGCCACTAAAGCGTGTTCTGGATAGGCTGTATGAAGCGGACAGCCAGGGCGGCTTGCATTGCATTTGCTGCGCGATTAAACACTAATTTGGCATGACACTTCATTGGCCACAAATAACAGCAAACACGGGCAAAGATCAGTTCAGAACGGGAGCCACTTCGCGCTGCCATACCGCGAAACGGCCAAACAGGAAGCCAAACCTGCGCCGAAGGCCTTCGAAATGCTCAGAACCGGTCGGATCCTAGAGTCCGTAAACGACCGCAGCGCCGCCGCGTACATCCGGGACCTTTCTACGCTCGCTGCTTGTCGGAGCCTGATTCCACTATTTCTTTCTAGTATGCGCCGCCTTTTTTACCGCTTGGCGGGTATGTCGACGGGTGATTTCTGTTCTCCGACTTTATAAACTGCATTTATTTATTTTCTGATCTAAAATACTGAACAAAAACTACTTTCATGAATAATCGAAACGGTTCGCGCCACTTATATTTTGTACTTCGACTAAGAAGAAGCTTTTAGCGGCTCTGACCAGTAGTCAGCCCAGGACCAAAGACGTCACATATCGCGCGCTTGTGGTACCGCGGGTCGCCCTCGTCGGTGGAGGAGGTTTCCGCGTCGTCCGGTTAAAATATGACGCACTGATATTTAGTTACTCTCTCCGTGCCCGCTGGCTTGCCCGAACCCCAAGAGACGTGGAAACCGCAAAAAAAGGTAGACGTTTAAAGGGCAACTCCACTCCATTTTACAATTTTTGGGTTATGATCTGTTTAGTCGAAGCCGGCGGCCCTGAATCACGAGATATAATTTGTTTTTCAGTAGTGTGTATAGTTTTGTAGATATCGCGAATCCAAGTATCGTTCCGGCGGCACGGCGAAAACGAAACTACCGGTTGAAGCAGCTTGGCAACACTGATACTAGTGGCGCGTCGTCGGCATGACCTAGTTCTGGTCCCGCGCTTCTGAGCTGACGCGCCGACGCACCGACGAGGTCGGCTCAATCGCACGTGGAGTTTCAAAACAGAAGGTTAGATGCACATTGTCTTTTTTTACCGCTGCACTTTGTTAATATGCACCAAATGTAGTAAGATTTAGTGCGTATTTATAAATGTGGCGGCCGAAAAGCGAATCCGACTGCTATAAATATGACGCGGTCGGTGCCGGCGCAGCGTGACTGTATTTGTTTCTTGCTCGCGGACCGAGAGAAAACGAAATAATGGGAGATAGATGGACAGATCTATCCACAAGTGGTCTAAGTTGTTAAAGCCAAGGTGCCTTTATGTGCACGCTAGTTAGATCAGCCGCGACCTGCTGCGTCCGGCCGATCGTGCTGGAGCAGCCGGCGGACGGTACGCGAACAGCGACGGCACCGCATCGTTCTTCAAAGACGCCTGTTTCGTGGAGAAACCCGCAAAAGCCAGCAGCCGCAGATCCCGTGTGTAGGTGTCTGACGTAAAGTGCTGGTAGCAGAGCTTCGCGTTGGAGCTCGGAGTCAACGGTCTTCCGAAGTCAATCCGGCGAACGGCACCGAACCACACCTTGTGCCTCTTCCGGTCTCTTGGGAACTGGTGGAACCGCAGCTCCGGGTTGCGCACCGGGTTGTTGGTGCAACCCAGACCATTGCAAATCCTGCTCGACATTGCCCAACGCGAGTCCGGCGAGTCTCTCCGGCTCCACGACGCGCGCGTGAGCGAGTGGCACCGCTTCGCTCTCTTCCGCGCTGTCGCGGAAGCAATGCTGGAGTTAAAGGAACTGCCTGGAGGCTAATAAAAATAGGGAAACACAGGATAATGTGGTAAACACCTCGTGCCGTCAGCAGAACCGCAGAATGCCACGGGAAACGAAGCGCTCGCGGCGTCCGTACGAGAGCGTAGGACTAGAACTACGTCATTGCCCAGTGTTGCTTGACTAGCTCACCCGGTGCCAGCGTTGCTCACCCGCTTTCGGGCCGCTAACCGAGCCGGGAGAACATTTTTAATATTGGTTTTAATCGGTAACGCGGCGTCGGTTTGACGTGATATTTTGGGTATGACCGTATTTTGACCTCCTAAAGCGATATCAGTCATTTCGATAGGGTCGACTTTTTGAGTGGAGTTGCCCTTTAAGGGCCCCTTTAACCTCTTCAGAAGGAGCGCTTCTCCGCAAGCGTAGGCGCAATGCCAAGAAGCAGCGGAGCACGGAGCTTCGTCGGACAAGTTTGCTTTATTCTATTTTCATAAAGGTACGGTGATATTACGAGTGGCGACGGATGAATACACATTGTATACCTTTCTGCTAAAAGTTGTTACTGGTACTGGTTTGTAACAACATTGTATAAAACATAAGAATATTAGAATGTGTCTCAATGTGCTATGCTCCTTCCATATTTGTGCTAGCTCATATATTATTTGAACCTTGCTTCTAAATTTCCTCGAATTAGAAAATTAGTTTATTTGAAAGGTTTTACGTTTTTCACACTCGCTTCTACCAAATCGCATCAAACTAAATAACCCCCCCCCCCCCAAAACAATTTTTTTTTTTTTTTTTGGGGGGGGGGGGGGGAGGGGCTGACGGTTTGTACAAGTACTTTAGAAGGGACTTCAGCCCAAATATGTGCAATGCTCACGAAGCATTAATCGACATTTAAAATTGACATCAGACCACAATATAAATTGTATTACAAAATCGGCGGGAAATTGGGAGATTTTTTTATTATTTTGTTCGTTAATTAATGAAAGTCATGACAACGAGGAGAAGGCGGTGACTGGCTGCAATATTACCGGTCCCCCCAAACAAGATTAAATTATAATACAAAGAGTTGATAAGTAATAATAGGTACGATATCTACTAGTCAAATATGTGTGCTCCAACCCACTTGTGCTCCTTGCGTATGACCGGGCAGTTTCTGTTCACGGTTCCGATATTAACGCCCTCGTATAGCCAAAACGGCCAAAACTCATACGCACCTCAAGTTCCGTGGAGGCTTTGCACACAACAGGCATCTTGATAGGAACCTTGATTTCCTGCAGCACCTTGGAGTGCTCTGTTGTCTCCGTTTTTCCCCAGCCGGACACAATGCCGTGCACGTTGGGCTTGCTGAAGTACTCTTTTTCTATGAAACCCGGGTCACCCAATGCCACAGGTCGGACGTAGTCGCTGAACTCTATACTCGCATCCAATTCCACCAAGGCGAGGTCAGAGTCCTGCGTAACCAAAACGGGAAGACGATGATATTATATTAGGATGCAAATTGACAATTTTCTCTCTAGCTGAACCATAAATTCTTTAGTACCAGACCTATTAGAACAGCAGTATTTTTTTTTTATAGCTGAGGGGTAGATTCGAGGACCTTGGACAGAAAGGAATAATCGTTCTAAATAAGTCAGCCTATCTGTTGTCCTTACACCAAGTGACTTTCCTTCAGGTGTCTAGTCTGTTTTGAACCCCCCTTTTGGGGGTCCTAATGTGGGAAGGATTTGAAATGATTCACTATTAATATATGGTTCATATTAGCTGTCAAAAAGTGAACACGTACCAGAATGCTGAGCAATGCTGCCAATATGGGAAACTTACATGTTCGTTTTCTGCCCAATAGTTTATTATTCACGCAATTTTTGGATTCAAGAGTACTTTAGCTAATGTCACTGGTAAATCTTTGATTGAATGTTTTTTCTCGTATGCCTACGAGCTAGTTAAGGGGCAACTTGACAACTATATTTAATGATGACAACTATACATTCTGCAATTCCACTTTCACTTTTTTTATATTTTGGCGGAAGGTTGTTTCTCACGCACATTACTATATATGCTGGAGTGTTGTGCAAAGCAAGAAACCGGATATAAGAACTATCGAGGGAAAATAGCAGGCAAATTTTTTGGGGTATCCTGTCTTACCAAAGTACGCTGCCTTCAATGGCGCTTTGACTGCCCCGATGTTGCAGTATTGACTTAACTCCTGGCGCAAATTTATTCTGGAAGATGGCTTGCTGGATGGCAGTGCCTGCTGATCTGAAGCGGTCAATAACTTTTCGATCACCGAAACCTGAAAAATCCCGGAATAGGGTAGAGGGACTGTCCTTTGCTCTGAATTTTGCATCTGACATTTCACGAGATACTGTCGTGTATTACGCACGCTTGTACGTAATTTAATGTGCAGCGCTAACTTCATGGGTGTTCTAGAGCATAGTCAGTGTGAGTTACCAGTCTGAACGGTATGATTAAATGTTATGTTGCGTTTTTGTTGGGATGCTTACCTGTGACACCCTATCGTACTTAGGGTGCATGACCATATGCTTGATGCCCGCAAGTAGTTGGTTCGGTTCAGAAACGAACTGATTGTGTTTCCCCAGGAGGACCTGTATCTGAGATAGCTTGACATCCGATGGCAGAAGGTCAAAGCAGTGGGCTGCTGTCAGGACCCAGCGCTCGTTCAGCAAGGCACCTCCGCAGTGAGCAGGTTGCTCAGGTAGCCGGAACATCACCTGCATTGCCATCCTCAATCAGGTGCAATGAAAAATAAAATTATGTAACAGTAGACACTTATAGTAACAGCCCACGTTATAGGCAGTTATATGACTGGCCTGTGTTAATTTTGTTGGAGTCGTCAACAAACTGAATCTACCCCATAAACATTCCGTTTATGCTGCTTTATGATGTCGGTCGGTACGTTGCTATCAGTTGGCTTGATACAACCTTTGTATTTTTTGCTTCATTTTTATAACATTAGACAGTTTTAGTGGACCGTACGCTATAGCTTTACGTACGCAAAGAAATTGCGGGTCGTGAGTGCTCATGCGCAGAACGCAATAGAAGGGCTAGCATACTGCGTACGCACGCAACGATGGGGATTTTGCGTTGCTGGCTAGCGGGCTTTGCGGGACGCACTCGAGAGATCTCGGGCCCAACGAGAGCGCCAGTTTCAAGTTGGCGGTTACCTCGACTGGCGCAGCAAGGGCGACTTGGTGTTCTCGAAGTTTTTTGTTACGTGAAATTGCGTGGTGTTCAACTCGGCAATTCTTTCTGGGACCTACCGCGGTCGAATTAGATCGCCGTGCAGCTGAAAGAGTGCACAGTAAAAACGTTCACCGCTCGGTATGTGCGTCAACGCTGCGATCTGCTCAACGCTAAACCTATTCGTACAGTGCATCGCCGACGGACGAACGACTCTTCAAGAGATCGCCGAAGTTCTCGCTCTGCGCTGGACATCAGTAGGTCATTAATTTCATTCCACGATAGCATTGATAAAAGGTGCCGTTTCCACGGGACGACTGACGGAGGCCCCATGATTGAATTTGGCTACGCACTCTTATTCGTAGCCTCTGTACCCCGCAGAAAACCGCGCTTGACGAGGCAGCTGCGGCTTGGTTTAACTTTGAATAAAATGATTGGACACGTTTTCATTTTTAATATTTCTTTCCAGGAGTATGGTGGCTCTATAAGCACGCGGAATTCTACGGCTCTGGCAAATTTAACCAAGATCATGCGAGGTGTTCACTCGGAAACGTAACGCACAACTAAATTCGGTCCGAGCAGGTCGTCTTTAGCGTACGCTATACTGCGTACGCTATACTATTGCGTATTGCGTACGTAAGAGCCAGCAACGCTATACTAAAACTGTCTATTGAGTTCATTGAACCGTGTACTAATACGGGGTCAATGGCATCGAAAGTGTACGGGAGATGAGGGGGGACTACTGAAAAGAAATTTATATATATATATTGAATAAACATATCAGAACTTTTTTTTACTTTATATTATAAGGCGTATATTAGTATTTGCATGCCCTTTTATATTCTCATGTGTTCGTAATTAACACTCTCTTTTAATATCTTTTTCACTAGAGGTAGGGGATCTCCTGAACTGTTTACTAGAAATGCGTGTATCAAAATGCCCAGGAATCTACCGCCCCCCCCCCCCCCCCCCCGCCCTTTAGTCCGACGCTATTGCACGAGTTCAGTAAAAACACTGAGTTAATATAACTGTGTACTGGCATGAGGGCTCTAATTGCAGTGACATCAAACTTGGAGCTTCGCAAGACGCAGGCAGGAATTTGAAGAGACAGTCATTAACGCAATTTTGTGATTGTAGGATGCGTTCAAAAGAGCTGAGGATCAATCTACCGCAGACACGCTTGGGTATGTAACAGTGAGACATGCTTGGGTATGTAACAGCCTCCTGTTACAGTACATATAAAGTTAGGAATTTACTATGCTCAGTATTGAATTTACAAAAATGTAGGTTAGTAAACGGTGTATATGTAACTAGGGACTTTTAGCAAACCGTTACCGTGTTCCGCGTACTGCACTACTGGAGCGTGTATGGTTTTAAGCGCTCGCCTCGCGGTCAGTGTCACTCCGGGCGCGCGCTTGAAAGCATGCTTCAAAGGCTCCAGTACTGCGGCACATGGAACACGGTAACGGTTTGCTGAAAGTCCCGATTGTCCCTAGGACACGATATACGTTATAACGACAGACCAAGACACTGTGTACTAAAGATGTTCACGAAGGTGAGATCGACCTGCCAGGGATGGGATCCCTTCTTGACTTCCTTGCCTCCAACCACCTTGCCACCACCGCTTTGGTCGTCTACGTCGTCACTTTGGCTGTCCAAGGGTTTACTGACCACCGGCCGCCCGTACACTGCAACACAAAATAGAGCGCTGTCACAGCAGAATATGGCAGTGGGCTTCCACACGGGACCAGCAATGTCCCAAAACGGTTGGCAACAAGATAGCGAAATTACAACATACAAAGAAGAGCGTAAGCTAACTCTGTAGTAATAGGTAATAATAATAATTTATTTGAAAACGAAGATCATATATCCACGGCATTGCAGCGGGTTCGTCAGAGCTTTCATGGGCTTGAAGGACTAAATCACGGTTGTAGATATATCAACATAAATAATACAACAAAAAAAAAACTAATTTGAGAAGAAAAATTGTCGAGCCTTTACAGCGGTTTCCCAGCTGAAGCTTAAGACTCCCGATGAAAGCAAGAATTAAGTATATACAGTGATGTCTCGTGAATATGGACACCTCCGTTCCCGTAAAACATCGTCCATAATGTGAGTTGTCTATAATAACCAGACAGAAATGCATGTATTTTCCCAGTTTGTCCCCGAAAGTTGGTGTCCATATAGCGGGGTATCCATATTAAGGGGGTCCATATTAACGAGACATGGGTGTAAATAAATTACATCATGTCGGTTATCATCCACCATTCAATGCTAGCACAAAAAGTCACACGTTGTCAGTTCTGTGTGTAGTCTGAGATTCTCAAGCATAACAAAATACAAAAAATCACAAAATCACAGACATGAAAAAACAAAATGTACAGAATAGTATTTGAAACTGTCACCTTTGAATTATAGTATCACAAGAACATCTGTTCACACATACCTCGGGTAGTGTCATGATCATGCAACTATAAATAAAAACAAAAATAGTAATAGTAATATTTAGTTTGGTTCAGGGGAGCAAGAGAGGCAAGTAATAAAGGCCTGCAAAGCTGCATCTAATGGTGATGTCATGACAGTGGACAGATGCCAGACAGGTGCTGTTGATGTTTAAATGGAGCTCGTGGCTGAGGGCGAGGGCAGACTTGTACGTAATCCGTTACAAGTAACGAAATTACATGTAATCCTTTATATTTATCAGTAATTTAGTAACGGAATAATTACATATTTTCTAGAGTAATTTTAAAGTAATTCCCTTACATTTTTTACGTAACGGATTTCTTGTAATCCGTTACATTTCTTTCCAGGACCAACCCCCCCCCCCCCCCCCCCCCCTTCTAAAGAAAGGGTTCTTTCATTTTGGTAAAGTCGAGCGCAGTGACACTGTCACGCGCGAATTGACCAGCGCCGAGGGAGGCTTGACACTCTTCAGTTCCGTAAAGCCTTTTTTTGCAACACCAAGCTCCTGAATCTATTTTTTTAGACCCTAACAAAAAATTCAAATAAATATTTCTAAAAAAAACAACAAAAAAAAGGGGGGGGGGGTGCAAGTTATATTCGTTTTTTTAGTCCCTTTGTTTTTTCTTTGCGATCGAAGACGGGGAGAGGAGGACACTAAGTGATTGTGTGCCTCTTCGAGAAGCTCGAGGCGGTAAGGGCACCGACAAGATTTAACAATGTCCTCGATTATAGTGACTGCGACCATTTTCATAATGTCGCAACACGAGACAACGCTCCGTCTACACTAAAATCCACAAAAAGAGATGTGATAATATGCGAAGGTGTTATTGCCACAAGCATCCTCGTTCATCGATGCACACTTATCACCTTCTCTTAGAAAACAGGATGCATTTTTTTCTGCATCTTTTATATCATTTGACTTTGTTTAAAAGCTACTTACTTCTTTGTAGTCCAACTTCTAGGGTTGGCCCACTTTATTTGTGAATACCAGCCAGATTATCTCCATCCCAGTCACCGTTTTTGTGAGTCAGCTTTTTGCGAGCATTTGGAAAATGGTAATAGTCTTCCTTTCTTCTTCCTGTTTTCCCTCAGCAGGACGCATCTTATCTCAAGCAGATATTTTTACAAATAAAACATAATGGAGGCTGACGTAGATTTGATATTCTGGGCTTGGAGCTTGAGGAATGATTGAAAGTGGTGAGTGGGGCCATAGCGCGGCTTACTTAGTACTCTGCCCTTCGCTGCCCGTGGCATCAGGGGAGGTCTATCTGGAGAACACCGGAGTAAACTGCAGTCGGTTCGTGCACTGTGCGTTTTTGGACGGCACCAAGAAAGGTACACACGGCAAACGTGCGTTTACATTTCCTTGTTTCAACGGACGTCCTAATTAATGGTTCTTATGAGTGTCCTTTTTTTTATTACTTATATTTATATGCTGGAAACTTTCTTTTTTTTTTTTTTTTATTCACCAATGTCTCAACCGAGGCTCGACCTGTTTAGAACCAAAGGAAGAAAATAATCGAGCCAAACCTTATTTGTTATTTAATATTCCCTTACTGTGACAACTATGTTTTGCTATTGTCTGGCAATATATGTCGGTATAGTACGATGGACATAAATCAATTCTTATTCTAGTTTTGGCTAGATGTTTGAGACTTCTTCAGCTTCGCGATTTAGACAATAAAGAATTTTGGTAGATCGGTCCGATGACTCCGATAACGATACCCGATACCCCGCCGCCTTTCCGCATGTATCCTATCGTTATCGGGGGCATCCGACGTATCGGAACGATCTAATAAAACTCTCATACATCAGGCAACGGCTGCAACGACGAAGCTTTGTTCTATCTTCGAGGTAAATAGTACGTCTATTGCTTCGCTGAAGAAGCTCAGTGCAGAGAATTAAGCATTCGTGAGGAACAATACAGCACTCCCATCCGGTGCCTCAGTTCAGAGGGTGTTCAGCGTAGCAGTCAACCATAGCCTCATGAGTCAACATCTTCAGTATGAAATAACGCAAAATGTCTGACGAGACTTTCGAGAGCCAGCTGTTGCTCAAAATAATCAAGGTCATTAAATTGAACAGGTTGCAACAATAAGAACTTGAATAACGTACCCTCTTCCCTTTGTTTCTTACTTGAGGACAATAATGTAGAAAGTAACGGCACGAAAGTAACGGATTACTTTTTGGGGTAACGGTCAGTTACTTTTATGGGAGGGTAATTGTAATTGTAATAAATTACAATTTAGCCTTGCGTAATTGTAAATGTAATTCCTTACTATTTTTCAGTAACGTGTACAAGTCTGGGCGAGGGGATCTTGCGGGTGACGACGGCCCAGCTATTATTTAGTGGGCTGCTCGCTGGGCCGGTCTTCTGTCCAGCTGGTCTCACGACTCTCAAACTGTGGGGGCAGGTACCATGAGATACGCTGGGTGGGTTCGGAGAAGGGTGCATTAGGTGGGGGTAAAGCAGAAACGGGTATTTTTACCGTCCGTGATGGCGTCGATCCTGATGAAAAAGTATCCGTCTTCAACGTCGCTGTCCAGCTTAAACTTGAGGTACAGGTGTCGGGTCTTTGTGGTGACGAACTGGGCTTCGGATCCAGCTCCACAGAACGAACCCAGCAGGTGAGATCCTGATGTGCACGGAAGAGAGAGGGAAGTCTTCGTACGAGGGGTGATCAACAAGTTTTGCCTCTTCCGCTGTAACCTTTTTATTCAGTGATGGAATGGAAAGATGTTACGCTCAAAAGGAAGTATGGGATCTCCTCTTTCCCGGCTGCACATATATATTTTTAGTATAGACCCTTTTGCTGTTTCCAAACATGAACTGCCGCTTGCGTCCTAAGTGAAGGGCCATACGCACATTCGCGTTTGGACGCGTTTGAGTGCGTTGCGGAGTCCTTGCGGCCAGGCGCGGTCGCTTGCAGAGCGACGCGCGCCTTCCCGCAACGCTCGGTAGCGCGACGCAAGCGAGTAGAGACTCGCTCAACTTTCCGAAGCGTTGCGGTGCGTTCGGGTGCGTTCGACCAATCAGAAGCCGAAAGAGGAAAGGGGATGACGCGTTCGGCTCGCCCCACCCAGCCGACTCGGCGAGACGTATCCGGTTCGCCGGTTGCAGTGCTTGCTTTTTCGTTTTGGGGAGCGGTGGGGACTGTATTTTCCAAGGCTGCGATGGTTCAAGCTTGACAAAACGTCGGGGAAGCCGGCGAGATTGTCCCAAGATCGAACACCGACGCTGTCGCCGTGCGCCGCCATGTCGCCTTGGATTTCGCTTACTATTGGTGAGCCACTAGCGATGATAGCGCGTTATTATTGGTTCTTGACTGCGGTTGACTGCGTGGCAACGCAACTGTGCGTACAAGCTTGGCGCAAGCGGTCTTCGCAACGCAACGCGCCCGCTTGCCGCTACGGAACGGACCGCGCTCAAACGCGAATGTGCGTATGGGCCTTGACTTCCTGTCGCACCGTCTTTGCAAGCGTGTCGAGCTTGCTTATGTCAGAAGTGCTAGAAAGTATAAATGCTACACGGACAACAAAGTTTGAGGCTTGATGAGGGCCTTCGACTGTACAATTTAACGTGGAGGAGGCAAGTTGGTTTTCGAGGATTTTCAAAAAAATTCAACGCAGCTCACGCGTCTTCGTTTTCTTGGCGTTCACCTGGACTCCTGGAGAATGGGGGGTTAAACGTTCAATCGAAATTTAAAGCAGTGCTGTTAAGGTGGGCTTTGTTTATCCCTTTTATGAACCGGAAGTTCTCTGGGACGTCTCCTGCTTGGACCCCCTCACGGTCAGCAGTATTGTGGAATAAAAAGACCGGAGCACCGACTGGTGGCGTTTGCTATGAAAAAGGACCCTATCGTGTCCCGGCAGCGATGCGCTTCCGCTACTGGTGCACTACTCTCCGCATGACGTCGTAGATGATTGAGGGCGGCTGTTGACGACACCAACGGCGCATTGCATCGCTAATTAACCTCGTTACCGGGCGCATACCTTGTAACCTGATGTTCCTTTATGTTGGAAAACAGCAAAAGTATGGTGGCTCGAGATCCGGGCTGTAAGGTGAAAGAGGCAAAACATCTCAGAACTGCAGCTCCTCCAACGCGGCGTTGGTCTCGTCAACAGTTGCCCTCAATTACGTACGACAGCATGCGCAGAGTAGTGCGCCAGTAGCGGAAGTGCACCGCCGCCGGTTGGGACTATGTTGAAAAAGTTGAGCGCTCCCGTGAAAGAGAATGTTTTAAACTTTCATTTGAATCTAACATTTTTCAATTTCATCCCCGAGGAAAAGGTTACGGGGGGCAAAAATTATTGATGACGTATAGAAGTTTCTCACTCGGGCAAGGTAAGCAACTCGTTCTTTTTTTATTGTAGTGAAAGGTCATGCAAAGTTAAAAAGGGTACTCTGCTAAGCGTTCGTGAAATAACTAGGGTTGTGGGAATAGAGGTTCCAATTAAATAGCAGTACGGATTTTGTCGGTTAGAACCTTCTCATTTGAATGAAAAGCCTCAACACATCGGCTGTTTTTGCACAGTTTCGAGGCTGGTACTGCGCTATTCAAATCGAAGGGCTATTCGCACACTATTAGAAATTATATGTCACAGAGATGTCCGTTACGCGTGCATGGCGCCTGCCACGCAAGTGTGCCATACCAGCTAGAACGTATGGTTTACCTCTTTTAGTTTACACGAACGGGCTACTGGCAGATGAAAATGTTCCACACATGCATACAAATTGCGAAAGTCAACCAAGGATGGAACCGGAAGAAGTAACAGAAAAACCCCGATTATGTGGTGTCTGCAGTAACATAAACGATGCATTCTCCCAATGGAGCTGGAGAAGACGGCTCTGTGATGGGTTCAATCTTGTTCTTCTCTCTCGGCGCTACGTCGATTTGTTCACAGCGCCAGACTATATAGTCCGCCAATGCCACTCATCATCAATGGATACACACATACCTGTATTGTTTCCATCCCACGTTTCCAGTATGGAAGTATGGCAGCTGTCTCTGCCTTCGCTTAAACCCACGTCTGCGAGGTCAAGCTTGAGGACGTGGCCTTGCTGAGCTTCCAGAATTACGTGGCAGTTGAGTGGAGGCACCGAGCTCCTGGAGTAGTCGGGACTCTTCCATGTCACCGTACGCCCAAAGTACTCCAGCTTGCATGGTCCTTCGGGAAATAGGGCACGTTCGTTGTTTTCAACGCGAGAAAAGGTTGTAAATTATCGCAGCGGTTATGCTCTTCCCGTTATTTTGATCAATGTGCATTTCCGCGTAAAGTCTGGTACACACTTGGGCGCGTATAACGGCACTGGGTGTAGCAGCATATATTTATAACCCTTGAGGAGTGCTTCTATGTTCTAACGCAGTACGTAGATATAAATTGCTAAGTAGCAACTTATATGTGTATCATACTGGCCTGCTTAAAAATACTTTTTTTACAAGAATGTCAGTACCAAAGTCAAACTTGAATGTTTTCTACAACTTATTAGCATAGCTTGTGAGTGGCGAGAAGTAGATTACGGCGAAGGCAGCAAATCGACAGCGACAGGACTTTCATACTAAACAAAGTTTGGCCGTCAGGCAACACGCCCACAATAATAAGAAAAAGGAAGTTTCGCTTTTTTTGTCACCTAACTCCGAAGCTGGATGTAGAAGCGGCGTACTCGTGACGGGGTACCTCATCGTTATCTCGGTAGCGTATCCTCTAAAAAAATACTCGTCGGGAACAAGCTACTTAGATCATGACGAGGTACGGCAAAAACGCGAAAAATTATGGATTAATATTTGTCTTTTCGCAGATTACACCAATTAGATTAGCCTTTACTTGCGCCTGAATTTGAAACTGCAATCAAAAAATAAATCGCAAAGTAATTAAATCAGATACAGGTACACAAATTGGTTAATTATTAAACTAATCGTGATTGTCGTTCCAACTTTAATGTCCACCAAGCCTGATAAACATACAGTGAAGCCGATACCTGTGTAGCGCCGCCCCCTTTAAAAAAAAAAAAGTTAAATCAAGTAGATTCATCCTGTATCGAAACATATGATGTAGCTATGATTGGGTGAGGAAAAAAGACAATAATTATTGGTTATAATTTTCGAGGGCCACTAGCCAAAAGCTAGAACCCATTTTTACCCGATTTTCCTTCTACTTGCGGGCTATCGCATCCTGCGCTTTGTGTAGTCTCAAGTTCACCTTCTCCAACCAAGATATTGGCGTACCTGTCTTGGCGATGGCCTTGATGCTCGCCTGGGCATTATCGAGGCACCTGCAGGAAATGACATTGGTGACCTTAACGAGTTTCATGAACAACATATATCACGTCCGTTGACGTTTCGGAGTTGCGGGGAGAGAGCCTATTCAGTTGTGGCTATTAAAGCCAACTGTGGAGAAAGCTATTATGTGTCTTCCAAGAACAACCGTAGCTTGAAAAGAGCGTGGTGAAAGCACGCTGCTATACATAGCTGGCACTGACGTCACGTTAGCGGCCATTGTGGTTGCATCGCTGCTCAGCTCGTTCCTCTTACAGCATGCATTGCACACCATCTATTTTTCTTTCTTCTCGGCAAGTGCAAGTAGGATTCTGTTCAGGAGGTTGGCTAGTGCTCAGGAAGTTGTGCGGCTAGCAGACCTATCTGCTAGCCGTGCTCGCGCCTCCTGCGTTTCCCCTTTTCTTTTGTGGGTTCCCCTTTTTCTTTTGTGAAAATAAAAGATTGATTGACTGATTAATTGACTGATTGATTGGTTGATTGATTGATTCCCAACAGGATACCGGATACGATGACTTAACGTCCAAGCCATGAGTAGTCACTGAAAAAAGGAGAACGGCACGGCGTCTCTTTCGAATGTCCGTTCTCCAGCACGCGCTCTTTGCGTTCCGCTCGAGGCTCACGAGACACGGAAGCGTTATTGAAGCGGGGAAGCTCGCGCTGGAGGCGGGACAACTGAAGGACCTCCCTTGCGTTCTCATCCTGTCAGTGAGCTGTATCATGCGTCGAAGCGCCACATCCCCAACAATGGGGGCCGCCAACTCCAACTTACGGAGCCTTGGATATATACCAACATGCGAATCTGACGTCAGGTCACTGTGGTGGCGCTGCTGTCGGCGTGGCGCGAGCGCAGAAAGCTTCACTTCACGCTAATTTGATTTCTGCGCACGCGCAGTGCGCAGAAATCAGCACGCGCAGTGCGCAAAACCTTGTGCTAGCAAACGCAAACTACCCCCCCCCCCCCCCATTTTTTTTTTTTTTTGTTTGCTTAAAGTAAGTTTGTTTTTTTGCCCAAATGTAGCGCTAGCGGTCCGAACCAGACGCAAAAGCTGTCAAGAGAGATTCAAAGATTGATTCCGGCTTGTACATTATATAGCAAAGTTTAAAAGCATAATTAAATCGGACGTAGGGTACGACGCTTTTTTTTTTTTTATAATTTTGTCTCTGAGACAATACAACTTACAACAGTTGCCTCAGATTCGAAACCCTCTTTTCAAAGGCGCTTTTTATTTCTAAAACATATGAAAATATTTCAATTGCATATATATTTATCGGGACGTGTCCTTACTCCTCGAGAGTCGAAACTAATAAATAACAAAGTGTGACAATCAAAAACAATTTTAAAAAGGAACACGAGAAAATAACTTCCTGATAAAAATTATTTTTAAGTTGTCGAACCGTTTAACCGCTGCCAAAGTTGGGACGGTTAAATATATATATATATTTTTTTTTTTTTGCTTCATAAAATTGTGTCGCCGGCTTTTACCTCACGGTGCATTATGCCAAGGCCATCGAAATCGTGAACTGTCCTTTCAGAGTTCTTTCGGGTTATTATCAGAGGTAATATGCGGCAGCGCCATATGACAGCGCCATATGAGCGCTGTCAGCCCACTTAACCAGTCTAAATGTTTCAATGCTGCTGTGCGCAGTCATGCTGCCAACATCATTAAAACCTGACATACATTTTTTACAGGAGCTTTTTTAGGTGGCATTTTTGAAGTTAAGGACAGTCGCGTTTTAAATCTTCACAAAAAAAGAGAAAAAGCTCGCCTTTAATTTTTATTATGTTGCCACATCCACGGGTCTTAAAGACTGGATTCAAGTGAAACAGTCTGCCAACACTGTCTGAGGCGTGTTTGTTTCTTGTTGACAGTCGTGTCACACTATAGTCATGCAAAAACTGTCTGCACACATGTTCGCGAAACACGCATGTATGTGAAGCAAACATACTTCGAACATTCTTGACACGTTTCGGCAGACAATTCCCGGGTACCGTGTGTCTTCTGTGTGGAGCAGTGTGAATGTGGCTTTAACCCGGGGTCACACTGCTTATACACATTGTACAACGCGAATCACCGCGAGATCCGTCCTTCGAATGCCGCCTGGGAACGAGGACGAAACCAAGGCACGGGCGGCATTCGAACCTCCGATATTGCGATGACTCGCGCGTTAGCAGACTGTATTTTTTATTTTTTTTTTTTTGTATGATGTATAAGCACTGTGACTTTGAATTTACGCCACACACACTTACGTACTTCGTAGCACAGACATGTACTGCAAAGAAGCTTTCGTGCAGAAGGTGCAGTATATTTGCCAGTTCGTTGGTCTCAGTCTAAACTTAAAGACCGGTTTGTTTGTTTTTTATCGTTCCCCGCGCCGAGTAAGAAGCAGTCGTGTCTCGTTAATATGGGCACTCTTATAATACGAACGCCCCACTATATGAAAAAAAAAAAATTCGGGTGCCAACAGGGTAAATACACGCATCTTTGTCCCATAATAAACGGCTCACATCACGAACAATTTATGCGGGGGAAGGCGGGTGTCCATATTAATGAGATAGGACTAAAACAGCACGGTTCGCGAAACTAAACAATCGCGTCCGAACAAAACGTGTTTCCAACATCACAATCATATACACGTTATATTAGAGAATGGCGGGCAGAGATGATTTTCCTATCGTACAGTCGCCGGCCATATGAGCTCCCCCGGCCGAACGCCGACCGGATCAGTGAAAATCCCGCACGCGGCGCGTCGAGCGTTGCCGCGTTTTGGGAGCCGGGACCAAACCATTCCGTTATCAAAGGGGTGGACACATAGCTTTTATCGGGATCCTTTAGAAGTGTGAATCACGAAAACATGACCGATTAGAATTGCCGTCTTCGGGTGTTGGCCCCAAGTGTTCAGAGATGATGTTATAACTGCTGATAAACTGGAGCTTGCTTTAGGCGTAGATAAAGAAGCAGGGTTCGATCGATGCTTACAAATGTAAAAACCCTATGTTTGATATGATATTGGGCATGACAACAATGATCCCTCGGCAAGCGAGAAGTGGCCGACCAGGAAGCCATCTGCAAAATCATCGTGTAGACAATTACCCTGGCAAAGCAACAGGCTACTGAGAGCAGAACAATAGAGTCTCCTCGATAAAACGCGTTCATGAAAAGCGCCTAAATTTTTATTCTGCTTCGACAAGTCTTTTTTTTTTTTTTTTTTGGTTATCTATAGCATATTGTTATAGGTTAAATAAATTATTTCAAAACCGCTTGTCATTGTCTAGTCTAGGTGTAAGAAAGACTGTAAGAAAGGCTTGTGCGTACGATTACTCTTCGGGTAGCAAATACTTAAAATGACAAACCGGTTTTGCAAATAAAAAAGTAGCATACAACACGTCACAGATATTATGCAGTGAAGAATTTCGATAAGGCCGTCTGCGTTTACCTACAACCGGATGCGGGATTGTAATCGGCCGTGCTTCAGATTCGCGTTCCAAAACGCGGAATGCTATTAGACTTCCTGCGTCCACCCCTTTGATAACGGAATGGTTTGGTCCCAATAGCCGGGCTCCCAGAACGAGGCAAAGCTCGACGCGGCGCATGCGGAATTTTCGCTGTTCCGGTCGGCGTTCGACCAGGGAAGCTCATATGGCCGGCGACTGTACATATCGTATTTTGTTTTTTTCTGCAGTACCGGCATCAGATATTAGAATCCCACAACACGGCACGAGCAAGAAATTAGGAATGCGAGAGGAACTTACGACACTGATGATACGTATGCGACGAAACAAAACGCGAGGCTCCACATTCTGAAAGGGCACGTTTTGACCACGCACACTCTTGATATAGACGTTGAAAAACGTGCGCGCACTTAGGGGCGTTCGAGAGCTCGTCTTATGTCTGTAAGGTATACCTGGCGCGTTCCTTCTGAGAAAGGGAGAGTGGATCGTAACTGGTTTCTCGACGACTTCGAGGACGTTTAGTTTTCCGGTCATGCAGCAGCGCGACCTTTGGCTCGTCACGACCTCGTACACATACGACAGCAACGATTGACGCGTTAGTTACCGCGGGAAGCTGCAATAAAAATATACGATTATTAGTTCGTGTTTTGCGCGACCGAACAAAGCTAAGCCCGTTTTGTTGTGCTCATTAGGCCTGGCAAACAATCCTTTTTCATATATATATATAAAAGAAAACAATAATGAAAAAAATATTATGGTAAGGTACGCAGTACAACGTTTACAGTATGTATGGGTCACTATACGAAGAGCATGTCGTCTGCTTTATGTGCAGGAGTTGCGATGACATCCGAACGACGCCAATCTCTGATGGCCTCTGATTGAAGGATAGTGGGTAGGCCTGAAAGCAAGCTGCCTTGAGGTCTACCCACTATCCGTCAATCAGAACCAATCAGAACTCGGCGTTCTGAAGTAGCCACAACCCTCGCAAAAGAAGCAGACGAACTTGCGCTCCGCATAGTCATTGACCAGGTGAGAACGGCAGGGAGGAGCTTCGGTTGTCCCGCCTTCGACGGTGCTGAGGCGTCTCAGGGGAGAGGCACAACGGCGCATGCGCGTCGGTTCTCCTGCAAGAATGAAGGTCGCTTCCACAACTTTCGGCGATGGTGGTACCGCGGTGTGAGAATCGCGCTCCCTCGATCTTGGATGATCGGACGTGCACCCTGAGCCGCAGCCGAAGCACGACGGAAGGCACGGGGAGTGGGCGCCGGAGGCCGGGCGTTCCAAAGACACGACCTGTTGTTCTCGCTCTCTCGGGGACTAAAAATGCTCGTCTCGTGGAATTCATTTATTCGTGTTCCACGACTGCGTTACGTTCATGCGCAAATATAAGCGGTAAGTTAAAGTACCTTCGGTGTAATGGTAATAATACTTCAATGAAACAGGTATCGCATAAGTGATATTTTTACATATAAATAGTAGATGTTTTACCTAAAATGAAGCAATGATCAAATAGAGATATCGAATCGTTTGGAGGATTTAGACTCCCTCCCGTCTGTGAATGGTGCCGTTGCAATGAATGCTATGAGTACAAA